GTGTGTGTGTGTGTGTGTGTGTGTGTGTGTGTGTGTGTGTGTGTGTATCCACAATCTTTAGCTGTCAGCCCCGACTCTATGCAGTGTTGATTGGAGGCCGTTTCTTGCATTGCCACATGAGTCCAGGACCTTGTCGTTTCTGTGAATAATAAACACACATTACTGATTAAAGGTTGATTAAGATTTAGGTGAAAAGGCCTGCAGCACAGGCTGGACAAACTTAACCTTTCGAGTTGTCACAACAACTGAAGCCACCACCAGCTGTTGTATAGGCTGCATCACTAAATCATCAAGGACTGAAATGAAGGTTTATAATTTAAGAGTAATTACCATAACCTAATTTTTCTAATAGGAACAGAGATTATTCAACCACCACAGTGTGGCCACCAGTGACACTATGTGCACCAAGTGTAAGAAACATTCATGTTTGTGCTTCACTCCTAAAGATGGAATAATCCTGGTATTTTGTACCTGCAAGCTGCCTCTTGATTGGCTCATTCGTTCACGTCCTTACCGGGACATGAAGGCCTCGAGGACGGCCACGTTCTCTTTGGGGAAGTAATCCTGTCTGACGACGTGCTCCAAGGTGTGGAGGTGGCCGGGAACCACAAGCACAGGCTTCACTTTGTCCTCGCTCTGAGCGGCCGGAGGAAAAACGTGTTAAAAAGCAAAGGACAATGTAATGAAAGTAAAGTGAGGAATACAGGTGTAAACAAAGTGTACCTTAATAAGTCCAAGCAGCACTAACAAAGATGACACAAAGCTGTAGCCTTGGAAGGAAGGAGTGGAGAAAGCTTTCTTCAGGAGAGCATCTGTGACGAAACAGATCGAGTTAAAAATCCTGTTCCTCAATACAAGACACAGAAAACCCAATATTCACACGTTACAGCGGGTGATGTGTCTCACCGATACTGTCCAGCACTGCGTTCTTCACGTCATTATTCTCCTCCTTGTACACTGACGCTATCTTGAGGAAAGCTTCAGCTGTTTTTGCAGCATCGCTAACATCCACCTACAGAGAAAAGAAGAGAGGTTAATTCCTGTATTACCAAGATCATTTTTATTCTTAACATCAAAACCCTTAACCATAAACCCGGGACATTCCTTTTAGCCTTCAGAACTCGGTTCTGCGGGTAAAAACTTGAGCTGGCGTTTCTGTGTTTACCTGCTGCTCGATCAGCAACGCTCTCTTGGCCCCCAGTTTGAGCAATTTGTCTGGTGATGGAAAGCTGAGGAAGGACGATACATCTGGTGGCCGGGGCGCCGACACAGGAGTAGAAGGCTTATAACGAAAGGGGAGAGAAAAGCAAGTCAAATAAACAACACATAGTTGGTGTCGGCAGAAACGAAAAGTCCAGGCATCAGAATCAGCATCAGGAAGGAAAAATGATCTCAGAACATCCCAATTATTTGCTCAGCAGGTTTTCATTGCAGCAACAGAATCAAAGTTTATGAATCAGGTGTAATTTCAAACTTGTCTGTGCAAATAATTCTGTAGAATGTGAACTTTTGCATTCAGTCACAAATCTGCCTATTATGCCTGATGAGGTTCTTATCTGACCTTGTTGTCAAGGATTTCCTCTTCCTCCTCCTCTTCCTCTAATTCCTCCTCATCCACTTCCTCATCATCGTCATCCTTCTCCTCGTCTTCATCTTCGTCCTCATCATCATCCTCTAGCTCACCCTCGTCGTCACTGAGGCAGATTACAAATCACAGCTCGTTACTGAGGTTTTGCTCCACAAGAGGACAGAGACGTGCAGAGAAAAGACAGATTGAGTTCGTTAACACCAAATGAGCTAAAGAGTAGAACATGATTACCTGAGGGATCCTAAGAGCTCACCCATGTTCATATCTTCCATGGCGTCTTTCAAAGCTTTGCAGCCATCATCTCCAAGACAGTTACCTGAAACCCAGAGAGATCATTTTATACCCAGTGGTCAAATCAAAGACAGAGAAACTCTCTAACTAACATCTCTAATCAGAAAAAGACAGAAAAAGATAATTTTCTCTTCTCAAACTGCAAGAAAAAGCAGATTTTCGTACTTTTGACCAGTTTAATAGCATCTTGATTAAACGTTCATCATCCATACTTTAATACAGAAAAATAAAAAACTGTTCATATTTACTAGGGTTGCACAAGTGTAAACATTTTCAAATGGTTCACACTGTACTGGTATACCACATTTTACCACTGGGCGTCGCACTTGACTGAGCACAAGCCGATGGGATAGGCAACTTTTTAATTTGTCAGGACACGTCATAATGAGGAACGTTTCGCTGATTCACATGAAATGAAACCGATTTAAGCTCCAAAACCAGTTAGCACTGACCCAACTGACATGAACAGATATGTGAAAAGCAAAATGTTTTGTACCATTTAAGTCCAGTTTCGTCAACTGATCCTTGTTCTTCACTGCTTGTGCCACAGCCAGGGCAGCTTCTTCTGTGATCTCGCAAAAAGACAGATTGAGTTCCTGTGAAATTTCACAAAAAGGGAGGGATGTAAAAAGAAACATTAGAAAAAGATGAGGACATATCCTAAAGGTGTATGAGACACACATGATTATTCTGAGGGTCAGTGACAGCCCAGTTCTAAAGTACTCCCTGACCTTGAGGATTGGAAGTCCCTCTGATACAGTTTCTGCGATCGCTGTGGCCCCTGCCGGCCGCACGAGGCAGTCTCCAAAGTTTATCACCTGGATACTGCGGAGATGTTTCAGGGCCTGTGAAGGACACAGACATTAACTGCTACAGCCTCACATACATCAAACCTTAAAGAGATCATTAGTCGAAGCACAAATGATAGAGACGGACATCTCTCTAATCTCAGTTGTCTCTGTACCTGAGCCATGGCGATAGCCCCCTTCTCAGTGAAGGTGTTGTCGTTGAGGTTGAGGATGCGGAGTCCTGTGTTGTGTTGCATGGCTGTGGCCAGGGCCGTCACACCTGGGTGATTGATGCCATTCTGGGGCATGTGAACCTCCTCCATGCTGCCCATCAACTGGGAACAAAAGTGTCAGCTGTGAGATTATTTTGCTGTCAGTCACACAGCAGCTCTACATAGAGAGAGGCAGCAGTTAACAATAACAACTTTATAACATCTCTGAAGAAGAACAATGGTCAAGCCGTATAAAGAACTGACAGTATGAGCTGTTGTGAAATCTCATACACGGGTTGAAAGAATAAAAATGTAGCCTGACATGTGGTATTTTATGTTTTCCCAGATCGCTCGGCCAGTTTACAATAAAGTGCTCAAACGTCAAGAAGTCGATAAATCTGTACCTGGAAAGCTTGAGCGAGGGCGGTGGCTCCATCGTTCTCCAGCCGGTTCCTTCCTGCAACAAACACCTTCAGGCTGAGGGGCGAGCCATCGGCACTGGATTTTTTATGACACTGGATCAATGAGGCAGCCAAGATCTGAGGAATCCAGAAAAAGATGCGTTCAGTTCTGAACACATCTAAGAATCAATAGATATATAGTAAGATTTAAAAGGATCTTAACATTTGTAACAGAGGCTGACCGATTTATTGGTTGACCTTTTTGAGGTCTTCCACACACACATTAGTTTCAGGGTTTGTGTTTGCTGGTATGCCTCGATACAAAATCTTTTTATTAATAGAGTAAACAATGCAGAACAAATGTATAGTTACGTTTCCATTTTACGTGAAAAAATACTTTCTTAATTAAAGTTAGATATATTTCATTGTATTTGCATTTCTTTTTATTTATAGTTATTTATAATAAAATGTATAAAGCCTCAGTTAAATTATTGTCATAAGGGTTTGATGAAGTATTAAGACCCAAAAATCCACATTGGTCGTGCTTTAGTTTGTACAACTTTGTATCTTCATCCCTTAAGTTAATTTTTTACAACTAATGACGACATTAGTCCTGATGACTTCCTACCTTCCCCCCTCCGATTCCCATGCCACAGTTATTGAGCCGTAGCTCCTGCAGTGTGTAGCAGGCGGTGCTTTTGAGCAACCTCTCGATGCCCTTCACCCCATCCGGCCCAAAGGCATTGTCACTGAGGTCTAAAACAGTCAGTCTGGCTCCTGCCAGCATCAGAGCGTCACCAAGTGAATTCTATAGCACGAGAGAAAGGGACAAAATGAACGTCAGGCAGCGGACCACAAAAAAGCTTCTGCTGGGGTGCAAGTTACGGATATGTAATATTTCAGGAGATGGTAAGTCTGGAAGATTCATCTTGCTTTGACATGGACAGTAACGAAGTAGAATTACCAGGGCAGGTGGGATCTCAGAGCGCAGACGACCTGTGAACATGTCACTCCAATAACAGCGCTGAGGGAGAGAGATTAAAAACAGTGTCAGTGTCAACCAAGAGACAATCTGGAACATAAAAGTTATTAACACTAACCATGTTCAACCTAGTGGACGTTGTGTAAGTAAATTAAATATCGAAGTCTAATATCTAAAATAAGAGTAAATAAGAATAAAAGATTTTTTGTTTTAGTTATTTTATGTCACTTTGGGTTTAATACAATTATGACGGACAGTTTAAAAGTGTGTAAACTACATATTTACAGAACACAGTTAATATATTCTGTATAAATTGGTTTACTCGGTATAGATGGATGAACTTGACTGTGAGATTCAAATGGAGACTGGCTAAAAATGTCCACAGTAAAGACTTCAAACCTGGAACTCGCTCTTTGTCTCGAGGGCCTTGGCGATGGCCTGTGCAGCCTCCACCCCGAAAGTGTTTCCCTCCAACCTCAGGGCCTGTAAACCCTCAAAGTCCTGGATCTGCTTCACAATCTCCTCCACTGGAGAGGGGAAACAGGAAGAGCGGATCATTGGTTGAGCACAAAAAAAAAAGGACGGGAGAGAAAATAGTGGTGTGTTGTGTAACACTAAGGTCTTGTTCACCAGTGAGAGGACAATGGAGCATGAGATGAACAGGCAGGTGGGTGCAGCATCGGCAATACTGCGTTGTAGCGGATCGTTGTGGTGAAGAGCAGAAGAGCAAATCAACACTAACGTTGGCCCTTCTCACCAAACGCTCTCCTGAATATCAGTTTTCTATATTTGTTTATTTCTTCATTTTGGTGTTGGAAACATCATCAACACGCCCACTGGCTCTCGGGGAATCCTCCAGATAATCTCCTGATGTTTTCTCACATGACCTCATTTGGACATTCTCTGGATTTTTAACCAGGAGGCTGGTGGGAGAACCTCCTAAGAAAGCCTCTCTCTCTCTGACATTTTCATTCTCAGTGTCTCTCAATGTTATTATCTGGAGTTCAGAGTCAGTCTGAAAGCAGCTTTAGTGAAAGCTGACGCTCACCTGACTGGGCATCATCCAGCTTTCTTCCCTGGCCTTTGTAGCTCAGCTCTCCATCCTCGACTCCAGCCTTGGCCAGGGAGTCGGCCAACTGTGCAACAATGTCTGACGCCATCTGGACACCTGAGGGACAAACGTACGTTTTTACTATTGATTCTGCATCGAAATGATCTCTGTTCAGTTCTGCCCCAATTAAACAAATACTGGAAAGGTTTTATATGTAGATATAACGTTTCTTATTATTATTATAACATTAGCACAGGGGAGAACACCTCTACTCATCTGTTATCTGTGACGTTGGCAGGAACACAAACTGTCACACAGAACAGAGGCCGCCATGTTTATCTTTTTTACAGTAGCCCACACTGGAGGGTGAGGGGGTGTTCAGCTGAAACACGCAACTTCACCACTAGATGTCAGTAAATTCTACACACTGCACCTTTAAATTGTTTTCTTCTATCTGCGTTATTCCTTTTTTTTTTTTTTTTTAATTTCCCTGTTCAGCACCTTGAATCTACTTCTGTGAATGAAGGACCATTAATATTCATACACAACATTTCTCTGGGCTCGTGTTTTAATCAGTGTTGTTCTTTTGTTTATCTGGACCCTGATTAATAAGAGTCGTCATATCTACAGAGAACACGAGACACTAAAAACTTTTAGTTTTCAGGTGGAGGCAGTGACCCAGCGGTTTAAACCTGCGCCCGGAGGAGAGAGTGTGTGTTGTTGCTCCACACAAACACACGCTGACTTCACCGTGTTGCAGTGGATGTACCCTCGTCAGCAGCAGTTAGCATTAGCCGAGCGTTCCTAACATTATCCCCGCAGCTTTGACACCATGATGCCTCCGGTCACCGCAGACAACAGCGGCTTCACTCTCACGCTCCGCGGCTCCTGGGACCCGCAACACCGGATTCACCGGCGGTCACAAGGGCGTTAAAATGTGACAGTCCGCTAGCTAGCGCGGGTAACGTGAGACGGAGCGTGGCCGCACTCTCGGCCTCTCCGCCCGGTCAACGGCAAACCGCCGCCCCGCTGTTAGCATTAGCTCCCGCTGCGCCCTTAGACGTCGCTAAACAGAGTCGCTGCGTTGATGAGCCCGATCCCGACGGACGGACACCGACGTTACCTGAGCTTCTCTCCGGTCTCCCGCTCCCGCTCGTCCCCGACGTTCAAACGCGAAACCAGCGGCTCACTGCCCGGCCTGACGAGCACACAGCGGGGGGACAAGGGAGCTGTAGTCCGGTGAGACTACAACGGTGCGTTCACGGCGCTGCTGCTGCTTCTTCTGTGGTTTTTTACAGACTTCATCAGAACCGTGGTGTATAAACGTCATTTCACTGGATCTATATTAGAATTAACAAAATATATCAGGACTCATATAATATATATATATATATATATATCTGAAGCTGAAGTTCATTTGACAATAAAAATCATTTTACATCTTTTATATTCATGCTATTCATCATTATTGCCATAATGTATGTTATTCTATTTGGTATTAAAATTAATTTAAATATGTTCAACATTATTTTTTATTTGTTGATGCACTGAACTTAAACATGATTAACTGAATTTAGTTTACCTGTGTATATGTAGACTAGCTGTTATTCATTTAGTCAGTTATCAATAGGGGGGTGTATTTGTATTGTTACAGAGGATACCTCTTTATGGATGCTAGTGTTTACACACAATAATAATAATGATGTATTTTAATTTAATTGGTTTCGTCAATGTAATTTTTATATGTTCCGTTTGTAATTTAATTTGCTTATGAATAGGGGGGGTGTATTTGTGTTGTCAGGTGAGAATGACACGTGTTTAATTGCCATTGGTGTCAAGTTCAACTCGTGTGAATTTATTTAGTTATTGTAGGTGGAGTTGATCTGTGAGCCTGTCAGACCTGACTCTGGGCTCAAAGCTCTCTCACAGCATGAACACGCATTGAACCTGCAGGACTCTGTGCCTGTCAGACCTCGCCCAGGGCTTCTAGGGTTCGTCTCTTAAAGGGCCAGTGTAGCTATTTGTTGACTGAAGCAGTTGCAGAGAATCGAAACTTAAAATCTCTGAAGTCCTGACGCCTCAGCTCCTTCCTGTGTTTGTCAGCTCGGCCCTGGATTCACTCTGTCCTCGTCTCCCCCTCCTCACACTCTGCAGGAAGCTCCTCTGAATGTCCCGGCTGCATGATCCCTCTCCTCCCCAGGTAGGTGTGTTTGTAACCGGCCCAGTCCGGGGGGAGACATGCGGGGTCAGGGGCCTCTGAGCTCAGCCCTGGATGATCCTGAGCTCAGGCCCAGTCTCTGTCCTGGAGGTTTGATTCTCATATGTGACACAGAGGTGCTTGTTGTCGTTGTTTTCTTCTTCTTCTTCTTCAGGAGGAAGCTTCTGTCAACATGTCTTCAGTGTTTGTTACTCATCTACTTGTGCTGTCTGCTCTTCCTGCAGTGAACCAGCATGGACCCTGACAGACTCAACCGCAAGCAGGAGATAAGCAAAGCTCTGACGTTCATACAGTGAGTTATTGTAATTTTCAATTCAGTGAAAATGAAACCAGCCTAAAGACGTGTATAAATATCTGTATAATATGAAAACATGTGCTTTATTTCATCATCATTCATCAAAGTAAAAAAACACCAATAATAATAATGTTAGAGAAATCTATGTCTGTTTAACTTGGTGAATGGATCTTGATTTGAAAAGTAAAACCGGCCTAAAAATAAAATAAAAACATACAGTGTATGTATAATATGTGCGTTATAATATCGTCATTCATAAAATTAAAGAAAAAAACCACCAAGCTTTGCTTATGAATTTGTACTATGTCTTTTTGGGAAGGAGGTTTTGGTGAACAGGCTTTTTTCTGTGATTAACTCGTATCTTTGATAACTCTGCCCTGTCACCTCCACTTCTAAGTAACGTTCCCTCTCTTGTTGAAGGTCTTCCTTGGCTTATCCAGAGCCTGAGGGCTACCAGGTACCAGCTGTCATCATCACACACATTATTATGTCTGTCTCGCTCTCTCTCTTTTTTCATTCACAGTCTCTCGTTCATAACTTGTTGCTGAACTCTCAGACTTCCCAGTGTGCTCTCTGTTGTGTCTCTTTATTAAACTCATCCTTCTATTCTAATCAACCATCTCTCAGTTTACACAAGTTAAAATAAATAAAAAAGTTGAAATTTAATTTAAATGAAAAATCTGGTGTCTGTCCAGCATCAGTATTTAGTGTGTGTTTAAGTTCAAGAGTATGAATAGTATAAAAAACAGTAATCTGTGCATTTTCATTGATAATAAGCACTCATACTCAAAATACCATTTGTCTAATATGTCGCAATATTTTCCACAATTATCACAATGTTACTTTTTTACCAAATCGTGCAGCCGAAGTTGAAACCTAAAAAACTAAATGGAATAAAAAAACATCTTGTACTCATGTCCATCATGGTGTTTTTAGAGCCGCTGTCCTTTCTTTCCATACACATGTGTGCTGTGATCATGCTCAGAATCTAAAACCATCCATAAAACCATGTAAGAAAATATTCCCCCCATATTTTCCTCTGTCTAGGACTTCCTGACCAAGTTAGTGTGCAACCTGCTCCAAGAGGGCAACACCTTGTTCAGAGAAGGAGAATGGGTGGAGGCGATGAGAGAGTTCAGTGAAGGCCTGAACGTCTCATGCTACGCTACAGGAGAGAACATCCAGATCCCAGAAGCTTTGCTGGAGAGCCTGTATGTCAACCGGGCTACTGCTTACCACAGGATGGTGAGATACGTTCTGTCCTGAAACGCTGAAACTGAACGTGTTAGTGAGCATCAGTGCAGCTCCTCCACACCTGGGGGGATGTCTGAGTTTATCTTTGGTTTATTTAGCTGATATCCACGAAATCAAGTATCTGTCAGTGCACTGGATCCTGGAAATCTAGAACTTTTGACCTGGACCAGTTATAAGCAGTCTCCAGTGTACTGAAAGACAAATCATTTTAGAATAAAGCTATGCTTTATATGTCCTTTAATGAACTTCAGGGTCATCTGTAAATCAAATAATATACATTATGATGTAAAGTAATGGGAGGAGAAGGTGTTTAGAGAAGCAGTGGTTCAGTCTGACTAAGTGGGATTAACAGTGCAACAAATGACCTGTCTGATTTACCACCTGGAAAAGAATGTGGCCAGCGCTAAATCATCTGGACGTGTTTATTAGCAGCACAAGGCCACTGAGCTTAAACCTGCATACCAAGGAAACACTTCTCACATTCTCTGTCTCAACTGAATTCACCGTAAATTAAAAAGTACATGCATGTACTTTATTTCTTATTTGAACTATTCTCATGTCCGTGTTGTCCACAGGGGGAGTATGATCTAGGTGTGACGGACTGCGACAGCGCTCTTGCGTTGTGTAAGGAAAGCAGCAGGGCCCTGTACAGGAAGGCACTGTGTCTGAAGGAGCTTGGGAAGTACAAGGAGGCCTACAGCTGCACCACCGACTGTCTGCTCTTCACTCGTCTGGTAAAGGAAAGGGAGAAGTGGGAAAGTCAATGCAGAAGCCGAAATGCAAATCTGCTGTTTTCATGCATAGAAACATAAAGTAATGAGAAAGAGCTGGTGGTGGTAATGGAGGGAAGCTGCCTCGAGAAGTTCATTCTTGACCTGGGAAATATCAGTTTAACTACAGTGACATGTCAGTAGCTTGTGCACTGAATGAATTCATGTGATTGTATTCTACTCTCAACAGGATAAAGATGTGAATGAGCTGGCTCAGGACCTGGCCGTCCACCTGGGACTAAAAAATCGAAAACCCTACATCATCGCAAAGGTTAGTAAAATGTTTATTATTTAGATTTCGTTCACTGAGGAATCATGTTCCTGAATTTAATTTGAAGTGCTTCCTTCTGCATTTCAACCATTGTTTTATGAATAAAGTTATTAGTATGAAATGAACTACGCGGTGTAAGGGACTGGTATCATCCGAAGATATAAAAAAAACACAGCCGCTGTAAAGAAAGATAATTTCTTCTTTCTCACTCTTTATGTTCATGGGGACATGGTGCAGATATTCAGTATCTTCTCTGGTCTCAGTTTGCTTTGTCTCTCACATCCTGTTTGTTTCCTTGTCTTTCTAAGGAACACACACTTATGACAAAAGATGTCACTAATGGCAACACTACTGAAGCCAACAAGGCAAGTTCCACACTGTCTCTAACGCTCACCACCATACTTTTTAAAAAACATGTTTCCTGCAAAGCTTCAATCAATCTTTTCTAATCATCCACAAACAGTTTAATTTTTACAAAGAAATTATTCCCTTTTCAAGCATCGTCTCAGATGTTCTTAGATTGTTTTTTTCCCTTCTCCCCTGCAGGTGTCTGGTGGTCATTTAGGAGATGGGGTGAATCCTCTCAGTGGTCTTGCACCAGGTGTGAAATCTTGCCGCTGACTTTATTTTGAAACATCCACTCTGCTACTTGCTTTTCGTTTGAAAACGTTGATCCGGAGTCGTGCGGACGGCGGGAAAATCTATAGAACCGTTGGTCTGTTTTCAAACGAAAACATAGTTGTAAGGATGAAGCCTAAGATTGCATGAACAATACAGGCAAAATGCATGTGTCCACATTATTTTTCATAATAAAGTTCTTAAAAATGTGTTCAAAATAAATTACAGGTGCAATCTAACTGAATTATTTTCTCCTTTAGTCAGTTTTCCCAGCATGCCTCAGTCCACCGCTACCTCCATGTCTCCCAAATGCTCCCAACCTGTCGTCCCCTCAATGCCTGACAGGGTTGAGACAGATATGGTGGAGGACTCCGAGCTGATGGGAGACGACTTGGACAGTCTGCTCGACGGCTTCTCCACCGAACAGGAGTTAACTGAGGTAAAAATCTGTTTTCAGACAGATTTTTGTTTGTTCAAAAGAAAAGTTGATCCTGGTAAAACTTTTCTGCTATGGGAAGGAGCTGCAATCCTGCTCCTGGAACAGAACCGGAGCATACTTCACTTTCACTTTCCATTTTCACGAAGGTTTCTTTCATTCATGTTTTCCAGACAAACAGCCAGACCGCGTACTCGGTTCCCAGCACGTCCACACGCACATTTCCTTCGGCCCTGCCTGCCCCGACACCCCGGCTGCCCCCTGCCTTCTTCAACTCAGCCGCCAGCCAACTCAACTCCCTGGATTCATTTTCAGGTGGTGGGCACAGCACTACGTCCGCAGAACTGGACACCCTGGATGACCTCTTGACCTCTCAGGCTCTGGATGCCTTAGACGACTTCTCTGGAGTTGGCGCAGGTGTTGCAAGTTTACGGGTGACCTCCGCAACGCTACAAACCCTGAATGGCCTTGATTCCCTGGATGACTTCTTGGATACCATGCCATGTGCTGCTGCTGCTACTGAGAAAGTCAATTTATCCAAAACAAAGTTGGACAGGGAGGAGAAGTCCCTTGATAATTTGTTGGATGAACTTGATGACCTGGAGACTGTGTGTGATCCAGTTGCTCAGTGCATGGATGTCCCGACGTTTGGTGTGAAAGCTGTGGACCAGCTCGACTCCCTCGATGTCCTGGACTCCTTCTCCTCAGTGGAAGGTGTTGGGGCGGCTCTGCCAGCAGTTAATGGAAGAACAGGCCTGGACTTGATCTCTGATTTCATCCGAGCTGGTGATTATATTTTTATGGTGACTCATTATGTAACCGACTAGAAGTCAGCGAATAGATAGTGGAATTATAAATAGATAAGGTTACTGAAGGCCCAACTCCCCTTATGAAACCACATTTAAAGTGACTATGTTGAGGAAATGAAAGATACACGTACGTGGAAATATGTAACGCACACAGTTGATTTACATTTAAAGGAAGTAATTTCCTTTTTTTAAGACATCAACCTGTTGATCACAGCGTGTACATATTACAGACATAACTTTCTCTTCCTGCTCCTCAGGTGTCCCAGGCTCTCACTCTGCTGTCGCTCCAGTAATGAAATCTCCAAAGAACAAAGTAAGCCTGATTGTCTGGCTTGTGTTCCCAGCTGTTTTTAAAATCAGTTTTATGCATTAACTGAAATCTTATTTTGACTGTGGCACTAAAGGAGAGGAAAAACAAAGAACCAGTTTCATGTAGGAACCCCCTGTCCTCCACCCATGAGTTCCTGCAGGCCTGCTCTGCTTGTTTCCCTCGGGAAGGTACGTTAGCGATGCGGCTGTATCTGAAACTGACTGTTACTGAAACAAAATCAAAGTCATGCTGCTTTGTTATATGCAAATATTAACTTTTTAAAAAACAGAAACATCAACCCCATCTGTTCCTTATGAAATATCTTCGTTTAAAACTAATTTGTGTGTTTTCAGGTGAAGGGATTTACACATTTGTTCACAAGCCGGACCTGGTTCACAGCTGTAAACGAGACATTCTGTTGTGTAGACGAAAGGCAGCGTCTCCTTCAGAGTGGACCAGAGTGCGACCGATGCCTCCTTGCACGTCCTTCAGAGGGCCCTTTGTACTTTGCAGGGGTAAGATTCTCAACATCTCATAGTCAGGAACCCATTCAGTTTCGTTTTCTGTATTTAGCAGCGACTGCTTGTGATTGGATCATTCAGGAAAGATGTTAATACCAGTTCTGATGAGTCACTCACCAACTTCCCAGATTCAAACCGCTGTCTCTATAAAGATGGTGCTTGTAGTAAAGATGGTTGAATAACAGGATTGTATTAATGTGAGTAACTTGTGTTTTCCTGCATGTGCAGAGGTGCAGAACTCTGACTCAGGCCTGTGTAGGTACAGAGAACAATGTACGTTTGCCTACAACATGCTGGAGCTCGATGTTTGGACAGAAGAGAGAAAGGGGACATTGGACAGAAACCTGCTGTTTGAGACAGGACCCGTCAAACTGGATCCCATCAGCAGCGTCATTCACCTGCTACAGGAACACAAGGGCACGTTCTTGTTCCTCTGCCAGGTTCGTGCTTTTATACACTCGATTGAAATGTAGAAATAAAGTAATGTTGGCAGCAATATTACTCATATTTGTTGGGATGAATTGCTAATAATGATGTATGTACAATTGAAGAGAGATGACAATTGTACACTATGCCAGCCTTTATGTATTTATGAATGAATAAGTTTTATTTTGTTGATCAATAGGATTTCCTTGAATAAATAAAGCTACCAAACACTTAATGGAGACTTCCCATAGTGTTTAAAAACTCTCTTAATCTACAAATGTTTCTTTGGTCTTTGTCCTGTGCTGTTGTTAATCCATTCTTTCTGTCGTTGCTCCTCTTTTTGTTCTTGTCTGTTTCTGTCTCTGCAGAAGTGCTTTGACGGTAAACCTAGAATCATCAGTAATCGCTGCAGGGACAACTTCTGCTCCAACCTGGATGTCCGCCACAGCTTTGATGCAAACAAGTGAGTTTGTTTACACCGTACATGTCCCTGCGAATTCGATGTTAAACACACTGAGTTTATTTTCCCTGTCTGTGCCCGTCAGGTGCTTGGCATTTGTGGTGAAGACCCACAATGTGAACTACCGAAAGGTCCGTCCGCTGACTGGCCTGTGCCAATTGGATTTATGCCACCAAGCCGTTCGGTACGGCTGCCAGAAGGAGGACAGCTGCCACCACGCCCACTCCGTCATAGAGCTCAAAACCTGGAAGGTTCAGCGAAACACAGGTGCAGAAAAAAAACACCAACACCCACTAACATCTATAAAATGGATAAAATCCGCGTTCTCTCCCAGGTCAAATTACTCTGCGTTAGACACAGGTTTTTATTGACTCCAGGGAGTAACGCACACAGAGACACTCAAATATTGGCACAGACGCTTCGCTTCATCTCACTCGCAGCATCCGCCCTGCCTGTGTGATCCTTTCTGCAGAAAGCTTCAATAAAACTCTCTCTCTTAGACCAAAAACATTCTTCGACCCGTTTATTGACCGATGTCCACCACTGTGCTCTGACAGGGTATCGCTCGGACATTATCCAGAGTTTTTAGCAGGAGATGTGCTCACATACAGCCCCTCCGGAGAACTTCAGGAGATTATCTGGAGCTGAGTGCATGTCTGAAAGCAGCTCCAGTGAAATATTGTGTCATGTGTGACCCTGTAGCCTCTTGGTTGAGTTGTATGAACTCACAGTGCAGCAAGTCGTGCCGTGTGAACTGAAAGCTGTGTACTCTAAATTTGGCACAATGTGTTTACTATATCAATGTTCTATTGTATTAATATTTAAATCTGCTGCCCTCGAGTGGCTGAGAAGTTCATTAATACTGTTAATACTGCATGAGTGTATTTTTTTTGTTGAACACAGTTATTAGAGTTGTTGACAGTAGTACTTTGCAAGTAAAAACCACCGGACAGAAGCAGCTTGGAGTGTTTCTCTTAATATGAGTGGGAACTTAATGTTAATGTCTGTGTGTTTGTGTTATTTCCAGGTCTCCGCCCTGATCAGATTGTGAAAGTAGCCACAAAGTATCACGACAATCAGGAACAAAAGTCAAACATACAGAAATGGAATAAAGTAAGAAGCCATTTTTTATAATTCTTGACACACTGACGTTTACACTAATATTCAGACATTGTTTTGATTATGTTTACATGTGTTGCTAATAGATTATTCCGTTCATGTCACAGGTCATAGTCTGATTATGAGTCACACTAACATTACGTCCCTCTACTTGTTTGCACTCTAAACTTAAGAGCTTTTAAAAAAAACATGAGTGAAACGAGATGAAAAATGCTTTTTTATTTATCATTTAATTTAAGCAGTCTCCTGGAAGTGATGGTATCAAACCTAGAGGAGGAGGAAAGAGTCTGAACATGAAGATAAAGTTGGCGTGCGCTCAGTGCTGGAGGGACGGTCTGATCAGTGAACCAGACAAAGCTCTCAAGTACTGCACTGCTAAGGCCAGGCACATGTGAGTCAAAACAATTCAACTCCAAGTCTAGAAACTAAACTGTAAACACAGCCGTGTCATATTATCAGATATCCAGTCGATAAATATTTCCACATATATCTCCTTTTCTGTCGTCCTCCTGTGACCTGATGTTCAGATGGACCAAAGACAGACGGGTGCTGCTGGTCAGATCCTTAATGAGACAAAAATGGCTTCAGGTCCGACCACTGCCGAACGCCAAGAACCTCCCTCTGCAGTATGAGGTAGGTGTGATCCTCTGGTCTTTGGCACTTGAAAAGTACAACATGTACTTTTAGACAAGCTCTCCTCATCCATCGCAGACATCTCTATATTTCTGGACTTTTAAGGTTGCTGCTCGTTTTAAGTTGTCTGTGAGTGTAGTGTCACTGTTGTGTACTTTGTGATGTTCGTTCAAACTACACAGAGCTTTGTCTCTGCAGATGTGTGCCCAGATTTTGAAGAAGAAGGTCTGTAACTACATTGGGAACTGCAGCTTTGCTCACAGCCAAGAGGAGAGGGAGATTTGGACGTTTATGAAGAATAATGACTGTGAGTTATTAAAGTCACCAACATACAGGAGATTTCAGCCACTTTTTTATCTGGTTCTGATATTGACCACATTTTACAAGAAAATGTGAACAGTGTGAACGTAGCTCTAGAGATAAGATGTTTCCTTTGTGTGTGTCTGCAGTGCGAGACATTCAGCAGGTATATGACACATGGCTGAAATCAAATGGCCCAAACCGCCAAGCAGATGGATCCGCGCTCGCCCAGCCCGTCTCAGAAGAGAAATTTATTGTCATGCCAACTGACTTTGCTGAACCAATGGTGAGTTTCCAGTTGTTTTTCAGTTCAATCAAGTCACCTGTCAGACAAAGGTGTTAAGAATCCTTCCTGTTTGTCTTTAGAGCGGCTTCCACTGCCGTCTGTGCGGTAAACACAGTAACAGTGAGCGGCAGTGGCAGAACCACATCTCATCTGAGAAGCACAAGGAGCGACTGTTCAGTTGTGAAGGAGAAGACGAGGCTCTGACGTGGTTCTACCGTTTCCCTGGAGCAAACTTTGAACTCTGCCCCAAGTAAGACTTTCTATTGGATCCGTTTTCGGACTCTGCTGAACTTCAAAAGGCCCAAACGTTAAGCCATTTTCAGACATGATCTGTGTCCATGGGGGTCGTGACGACATCAGTAACTGCAGCTATCGCAAGTTCTCACTGATGTCGTCACGTGCCCCTTGGGTGAGAGCATAGTGGCGCAAGCTTGTGCTGTGTGTGCGCAAACCTGAACGTGGCTACAGAGGAGGATCACAGCGACATGTAGGCTAAAGACATGGTGTAAATGTTTCAAGTCCATTTAACAACCAAGAGTTGGTGGAGACCAAAATCAAAAAATGATGATGAAAATGATGAAATCTGATTAAACGTTTGACGTCCTGTTAATGACTGACAGGTTGGCTGGCGGCTGTGCTGACGGTGTGAGCTGTGACTACGCCCACAGTCCGGAGGAGCTGAAGGAGTGGATTGAGAGACGGGCTTTCCTAAAACAGAATCTCGCCAAAGCCAGGGCAGATAAGCTCGTCATGCCCAACGAGCACGACTTCGGGATGTACAACTTTCTACTTAAGGATTGAGGGGAATACATTTTTTTGTTTTCACACCACAAAGCGAGCATTTGTAACTGCCAAACTAACAAATACGACATATCAAGAGTTTTCAAATCAAAACCAAAATGGAGGAGGTGACGTGTTTAAACTAGAGATTTCTCCAATTAGCCGAAGTTTCACTTTAAAATGATACCGTCAATATGACTAAAATTTCTTTATAGTCATTTTTTTTATGTTCAGCAAAAAGCTCAGGACAAATCCGAGTCAGTGCTGTAAAAGTAAGAGTTATGTTGGTGCCATTGAAAAACGTGTTGTTTATCACTGAACTTTCATAGATGGTTTGTATTTAACCAAACTAAGGTTTGTGACTTCTCAGTGTTCCCTTCTGTTGAAGCAGAGTGTGTTCAGAGTTAGAGAGAGGCTGTTCAACTTTACGTTTAAATACTTCCCACAAATGTTTGTCAAAGTTCAACGTTCAAAACAAATAAAGTTTCTGATTTCTGATTTACATGTCAAGAAATGATTTTGAGTATTCACATTAAAGAGAGAAAAGAGTTCATTGTACATTTGGACAGTTTTGTTGTTTTTCCCAAGTTGTAGAGTCTTGATATATTCTTTAGATTTGCATAGAAACCTTGTGAAATCAGGGTTGTTGTTTGCCATTCTGCATTTATGGATCTGGACTAAAGTAAAGTAATGCTGATTTCTGAAAAATAGTACATAAGTATCTAGGCAGGTATATAAATGGTACATGCTTTAACTTATTTTAATATCAAAGTCAACTCTATTGTCAATTCTGCCATAGACGGGGTTGAAATGCTGTTCTCTCTGATTCCTGATGTAAACATAAGAGGACATATAAGTACACAACATATGGTACTAAAGCGACAGAGTACACAACATATATTGTATACCACACTCACACCCATGTAATACAGTATATACGCACGTGTCTATTTCAATATCTCCTTATAGATAATACACTAATACATCCTCAGTGTATATTGTGTACATGCTCTCCTCATCTTTTTTAATCTTGATAACATCTGACCAGTGAAGTTGAACTCTAACATCAGATAAGACACAATATACACACAATATATAGAAAGATTCTCGGGTTCATCACGTTTGTTTTCAATATGCTTCATCATCTTTTAGTGCAGTACCTAATCGCGTCGTTAGATGGCGTGAGCTTGCTCGTGCCTAAACTCCCCCCCCCCCCCCCCCCCCCCCCCTGTCCCGCACGTGCAGCAGTGCGTGGGACACAATGTGCTGCACGCGGTGGTTGTTGTGGAACTGGACCTCCAGAGCCCGCCCCCTGCTCTGCGATTGGCTCAGCGGCGTGACTGACGTGTGCGCACCCCGCCGTCAGCCAATCGGCGTGGCTCGTGGGACGTGTCTCCGCGCCCAGTGTTTGGACACATGCGGAAGTCCCCGTGAGGACAAGTGCTGAGAAGTTAGAGACACAGACAGAACTCACGCACAGAGTCTCACACACACACTCTGTCTCAGACTCTTGGTCACAGTTCGAGTCCTCCTCTCTCCGCCGGACAGGGACCTGCAGACACCAGGAGACATCTCCACAGCTCCACCGTCCATCATGTCCACAAACCAGATCTTCCTCGAGGACAGGAGCGACGTCCCCGACCTCCTCAAGTCTTTGGCGGATTATCCTTTCTCCTTTCCCGCGTTTGATGACACAGGTAAGAACAAACTACTTGTTGAGGCCAGACTTGTATCAACAGTACAAGTACACTAATGTGAGTAGTTCTTTCAGGTACTTCTACTCTCGTGTAGTATCCCACGATTGTTCTGTGGTACTCCACTACAGTAATATCTTACCAGTCATACTATAAGATACTTTATCAATCCTGAAGGAAGTTCTCAGAGTAACAGTACGATACACAATAGAGTGCAATAGTGTAAAACATTGAAGTATTAATACAAATAGAAGTGAAAATAACAATAATATACAATAATAAACTTTATTTGTACTTTCACAGTTACTCGGTGCTTTACAAGTTCAAATGAAAAAGATAGGAACCAGTTAAAAATCAAACAAAAGTATATTATAATTCAAAATTTATTAATAGTTTAATATATATTATTATTAATTATATAATATATTTTAATGTTATAAGTTAATATAAATATTGCACTACATTTATGTGACTAGTTACTGTTCTACATATAGATTTTACACTTGTACAGTACATGTTATACTGCAGAAGTATGTGTTTGTAATCCTAACAATGGGCCAAATACATTGCCATGACACATGGGGGGGTTAAAAACTGTTTTAACAAGATAAACCTAATGAACTTGCAGTTTATTTGCTGTTCATGAAACTATAAATGCAGGATTAGTGTTTTACTGCAATACCTCCTCCATTAATGTAAAGATATGATACTCATCACCTCATCATTGGATTAAATGTTGTATCATGTTCAGGAACATGTCTGACTGTTGCACAGACGATGAGAAGCTGCATCATGTGTCTGTGCTGCTTCTCTGCACAGTCACAACACAGCAGCCTGCAACTGACGCAACGACACAGAAACAGTCCTCACTCAGGGTTTCATCACATCATTAGCTGCTCTGTGCTCTCACTGCCTCATGCACACCGTCTGGTTCGCTTTCTTTTTTTTTAATTTGGAGCCTTCAGTGGGAAACGTGCGGAGAAAGTGAGGGAGGACGACGTGTTTCAAAAGGTCCTCGGCTGTGATGGGTTCGGGAACGTATATATATCTGCACTCACATGTCTCTGCGTGCTTTGTGCAGGTGTCAACAGAAACACGTTTGCATTGGTCTCTGGTCGTGATGTGTGCAGGGACTTTAAGTTCTTCTAGTTCTGCCTAAGTTTGGTGCTATTCTAAGTATAGCATCACATGTTGCTTACTTACTTTCATATGTTCTTTGGCTCTTTGTCACAACGCGGATGAAGGCTGGATTAATTGAGGAAGACTCACATGAGTTTTAACGAACATTAAAACTATTTGTTTTGTCTATTTCATTATCACCTTCACATAGCAGGGTCAGAGGTCAGGGTCACCTTCAGTCAGCAGTCCTCCAGGAGGTGGGGTCAGTGTTTGATGCAGTAAACCTGCTGATACATGCAAATAATGTCTTGATGCTGAATACAAGCAATACAACTATCAGGTTGTGATGTAGTAAAATGCACGTGGCACTCAATTGTTACACAGCCTGCAAAAGCTTATGTGGCTGATGTAAACATAAGAGGACATATAAGTACACAACATAAAGCGACAGAGTACACAACATATATTCAATTAAAAAGGCCCAGAGTTTTATGACCTTACAATGACACCAGTGTTCTCTGCAGAGACTGATGGGACTTATCTCTGAGTATTGCACCGTTAATGTAGATAAGAGTGGGTGTTTATATAGATGTGTGTGTGTGTGTGTGTGTGTGTGTGTGTGTGTGTGTGTGTAGCAGAGTGTGACTACCCTCCTCTTACACTTTGTTTACTGCTGAAGGGTTAAAGAAAGGAAGAGATGAAGGGTGAACGGGTTTTTCAGTTTGAACATCGTGTTCCTGAGCTCAAACATCCAGAGAGAGAGGGGGGGGGGAGAGAAAGAGAGACTGTAGCGCATGCATGGAAACGTGTTTGGCATCGCGAGCGTTAGTATGTGATTAATGACAGTTAATGAGAATGAACTGTTATAGTTATTAATGACACAGTGAGGAGCAGCGACACCTTTAAAATAAAGATCAAAGCTTGAATTCACCTTTAACACACACACACACACACACATATGTATATATATATTTATGTGTGTGTGTGTGTGTATGTGCAGCTACATATTAACGATGTATAATTAGATCATATATCAGGTGTTGACGTCAGTATTTACAGATAAACAAAAAGGTCTCGAGCAGAGCGTTGCGCGCGTGCACGCTCCAGCCTGCCCTTGCCCGCACGTGCTGAGCGTCCGAAGCCACGCCCCTCGACAGAGTGTACTTTCACGTGAGGCGGGGGCACGTGTTTGGACACGAGCGTCTTCCTGTTCCACGCGGAGGGCGGGGCGTGTGTGTGTGGGTGTGTGTGTGTGTGCAAACAAACGCGCGCGTGCACGTACTCTTTTGCACTTGCAGCCGTCGCAATACATATTCACATGCCGCCCCCCCCCCCCTTCGCAACTGACAGCCAATCAGCGTGTACTATTCTGCGAGTGGGCGGGGCGTGCGACTCATGAATATCGAACAGGAGCGCGCGGAGTGCACGTAGATCCGCGGGGTCGAGAGTAGCGTTGTGTTGTGTTTGCGCCTGAGAAGCGTTTTTGGTTTTCACACACGTGCCCTGAACGGCTGCAGCGGAGAGACAGTGAGAGGTTCCCCCGGTGCAGGAGGCAGCAGCTCCCGGTAACGTTCTTCTGGATCATCGCCCCCCGGTGTGCGCACGGAGCTCAGCAGCGAACAATGCCTGGTAAAGCCGCGGTGGCAGTGGCGCCGAAGCCCGGTGCCAACGTCGTGACGGTGGCTCCGCAGAAGTCGTTTCCGTTTGTTTTGAAGAAGATCATGGACATCCCTCCTCCGAACATCCTGGAGGAGGGAGACGACGGTAAGATCCGGACACGCTGCGCTCAGTGTTGTCACCCATCCGCTCAGGTGCACGTGTGTAATCCATAATCGATAATCAGGTGTGACGGATGCATGTGGGTCAAATATCTGCTGCTGTCGGTTCTGTGGGATCCTTACGCACGTGCCTTGTGTTGCACGGGGCCAGTTTGGTTCGAGGCTGCGAGGAAGCAACAAAAGAACAAAAAGTTCTCAGTCCTCTGCTCTGCAAACATCACACACGCTCACAGGGTTTCTATTACACACACTGGTCCACTGATGGGGGGCTGTTGTGCAAAACAAGCAAGAGCCCCCCCCCCCTCTTTGTTTACATATTTCCCCACATTCATTCCATGTTAATTCGATTTTCTTGTGCATATGTGTGTGTGTGTGTGTGTGTGTGTGTGTGACTCCTGAAGAAAAATGTAAGCAGCCACATGTTAAACTCCTCTTCCCTCCTCTTTTTATTGCAGAAATAGAGAAGGAGAAGCTCTGCTCATCTGAGGATGTGGAGGGAGGCGGGGCAGAGTCAGCCAGCGCTGTTGTTGTTGTTGGTGGTGGTGGCGGCAGCGGAGGAGGCGTGTCAGCCTCCCTGACCCCTGCCATTTGGGATAAGACCATTCCCTATGATGGAGAGACCTTCCACCTGGAATACATGGACCTTGACGAGTTCCTCCTGGAGAACGGCATCCCCGTCAGCCTGGAGGAGGGCCTGCAGAAGACGCTGACCTCCGTGGAGGGCAAAGGCAAATCCATCGCCAAGGTTGCTGCTCCTGCTACTACTACTAGTACTACTCCTCCTCCTCCTCCTGCTGCTGCTGCTGCTGCTGCTGGTGTTTCAGCCTCAGCATCCCCCCCCTCTGCCTCCAGCACCACCTCCACTGTCACCTCAGAACCAGAGGAGACAGTGACGATCACCACCTTACAACCAGCTAAACTAGAGGAAGAGGAAGATGAAGAGGAGGAAGAGGAAGAAGAAGAAGAAGAAGAAGAAGAGGAAGGACAAGACGAGGAATCTCAGTGTGAGGAGGCAACAGCAGAAGTGAAGGAGAAGAAACCAGGTGAGTCATTTGGATTTGTGGAAGTTAATATTTATTTGTTTATTTATGAGTTTTTCACTTCCTCTTAATTTATGATTTCAATTAACTTTCAATTAACTGCCAGCATTTCTTAATTAGTTCGTTAAAATGAGTTAAAGTTGCTCTCACCAGTGGAGAAATATCAACCACATTTGTGCAAACGTAGCAAACAAACTTCACTGTTCGTACACTTGAAAAATCATTTAAATAATATCTGTAGTTTTTATTTTATCGGGAGCAACCTCTCTTGTATCCGAGCTGTTATTTATTTTTTTCTCCCTACCCGCAGAACGCAGCACGCCCTCCCCCATTGACCCAGATGCAATTGAGTTGGACATTAACTTCCAGCCAGATCCCACAGACCTGGTCCTGTCCAGTGTTCCGGGAGGAGAACTGTTCAACCCACGCAAACACAAGTTCTCCGACCAGGAGCTGAAGCCGCAGCCCATGATCAAGAAGGCCAAGAAAGTGTTTGTTCCTGACGAACACAAGGTGGGTCGATCTGTGTGTGTGGTGATCTGATGCAGCTACTGATCATAAACATAAAGAGTCAAATCCATCGCTAATGTTCCAGTATGCCTTCCTCTCATTCACCTCTAATCTCCCCCCTCAGGATGAGAAGTACTGGTCCAGGAGGAAGAAGAACAACTTGGCAGCGAAGCGCTCCCGTGACGCCCGGCGGCTGAAGGAGAACCAGATCACGGTGCGCGCCTCCTTCCTGGAGCGGGAGAACGCGGCGCTGAGGCAGCAGGTGGCCGAGATGCGGAAGGACTGCGGCCGCTGCAAGAACATCCTGGCCCGGTACGAGGCGAAGTATGGCCCGCTGTAGAGAAGTCAGAATATAACCCATGAAGTGTCACTGAGACAAAAGCAGAAGTCCCTTCCCCGCAAAATTCAACACAGACATAAAATACCAAGGGAATCTCAATTTGCACTTTTGTCATTGCTGGCCACCAGTCACTGTGTTCTGTGCTCTAGTTGTTGTTGATTTCAACCTGATGCTGGAGTTTTGGATACACACTGGCAGGCAGTGAGGCATGATGGGAGCGGTGGTCACAGGACGGCCTGTGGAGAGCGCCTGGCTCCTACACTCACAGAGCAAAGGGGAAGATCGTGGAAACTCCCGAGGTCACACACACATGAAGTCTTGGTCTGTCTCGAGACGGTTTCAGAGACGTTGGGGAGTAAGAAAAGAGCAGGCTGGTACAAAAGAGTCACACGTTTTTAAAAAAACGACGACACACAATTCCATTTTCCTCACTGCATAGCAGCTCTCCCTAAAGGACCAAAGCATGAGTAACGTCAGCTAGAAGTCGTGTATTTAGAAAGGGGCACGTGGTCCCTCACGTTTCCTTGTGTTGCACTTACGTTTGTGTCAGTACTTCCTTTAAAAAAAGTCCAGCTGAGGCTCAGAGGGAAGATGTTTACGGCAGGGGAGGAGAGGGACAGATGAAAACATGAATTCAGGAGCAGGACGTGGATTCGCAGCCTGAAAAGAGAGAGAGAGAGAGACACGAGTCAAAGAGCTCAGGTCAGCGGAGGAGGAAATGAGGAGAGTTCGATAGTGGCGAGATGAAGTCACAGTTAATTCCCTCTTTGTAATCCACATCTGCACACACAAAAATACAAAACACTTTGTATATATGTTCATCTACCAGCATCACATACAAATGTGTGTGTATCAGTGTGTTATTCATTTTTGCACCTTTTCTTAAAGAGGAGGTGTGTAAAGATTTCTAGTGGTGGCAGGTATCTGAACTTATTTACCACAGTGGGAGACTTAGTAGCTTATGAGGCAAATAAAAACAAAATGCATGACCTACAGTTTAAAGCTACTGTTTCCTTTTCCACTAACCTCAGATCAGCTTCCAGAGCCTCACACAATATTTTATTTAAAAAAGACAGATTTTGGGCGACCGGTGGTTTTAAGAGGGGAGAGATGGAGCGAGTTTTTTTCCTGTACGTTCCTGTTTTGCGGACAAAGGCAAACGTTCGATGATCTCCAGGGCCCTCGCCTCTGGAGGGGTACGTTCATATATAGGGATGTTTATTTTACTGCACACTGCAAGTAGAGGGGGCTGGAGCCACTGCCTGCTCATGGTGTAGTGACGGCTGGATTGATTTTTAAAAAACATTTAGCCAGGTCCAAGGTGGACTGCTTCTGAATCTTGTAATTAAATGATTGTCTCACGGTCTTTATTTCTTACGACAGGAATCCAGACTGTGTCTTTATTAACCCAATACTATTCCTTATATCTGCCAAATAGTCAATGAGTGCTGTATTTATTCTGATGGTAATAATGCATCTGTTGATTGTGATGTACAACAATATGTCAGATTATTCCATTTCCTTTGAGAATCAATATTTACATTGATGAAACCAATGACAAAGCAGGGATTTAAATGGGTAAACTGTGCTTTTGGATATTTATTTTAACAACAGATTTATATCGTTAAAAGGTTTTTACATACAGTAAGTGTCTGACCAGCAAAAGGACAAGACACACTCTTATTTACCTCATCCACCACTTCTTGTTTTGAATGGGTAAAGGTTTAGCAGGGCTACAGGGAGGTGCACGCTGAAGCAGAGAGCACATACAGAGCAGCTCAGCTCCTTTTGGCAAAACCTCGAATCCCACTTCAAGGTTGTTTTTATCCAAAGTGGCTGAGTTTGTGTTTGGATTAGCAAATACATTACGGACTGTTACAGGACTCTATATCTCAAGTGTCTTTGACTGATGCAGATCATGTGGTCGGTCGGCTTGTGCTCATAACCGCCATAATCTTGGAAAGGAAAATAAATATGGCAATAATACTCTGTTGTGTAATGCTCGTTTAATTTCAGTGATGTTGTATGTACAAGTTGCTATGATGTACTAAATAGAAATGCCCCTAAGTCCTTTGTGCTTCCAGTTTAGATCCTCTGTAGTCCAGGATCCTAATGCATGAAACCCAGTAAACTTGTATTTCTTTTTATTCTTGACTATTATACACCAAGTGTACTTACATCTGTAAACCATCACTGAAAACTCGATATGTTTTTGGATGGGTGGGCTGATGGCCTGTTGTACAGTTCGGTCAAAAAGGAACATCTCAGCTCTGATGTCTTGTGTTTGCGTGACAGCGTGTGCAGCCAGTGCTCGACCTTGAGGTACACACGAGCTGAAAACAGCATCTTTTGATCACTGTGTGGATTGTTGTTGTTTTTTTGACTCCGGATCGATCTAGATCTAGATACACTGGATCAGTTGGTGCTTCTGTGTTTTCTCAACAGTCCCCGTGTTTCATTTTCCACCTGGTGTAGAGGAACTGACATCTCTCAGCAGTGTAATTTATTTACAAACTTGACACCGACTGCATTGTGCGGTTTCTACATCAGTGGAGTTGATGGATGCAAAACTTTGAGTTGTTTTAAAAAAAAAAATTAAAAAAAAAACCCAGATTGAAATGCTCTGCATCAGGCTGACCGAGGGCACTGGCCAACAGTAAATCAAGATCTTTTACGGTACAGCATCCAGTGTGTAGCAATCTCTTTTACTGATGCAAAGTTCCTCATGAAACTGGCTTGTAATTGTTGCTCATTAGGGTTCAGTGGGTTGCAGGTTGCGTTGTACACATGCCAACCTGCGGCGATAACTGGGAAGAGCAGTGGTTTAGACCTGCAGATGTAGACGTGTCCCAACTTTCTGATAAACTCACAGCAGCTTTGTTTCAGGTGTTTTATTTCCCCTGTTAAAGAATTCACAGTACACTCCACTATATTAACCTTTATCATCAGAAAAAAGGGCGTGAAAGCGTTATGTAATCTGTCCAGACTCATAATTAATGAAACTTTTGTCTTTCTATAAAAAGCAAAATTCAAAAAATTCAAGATATTCAGTATCACACAAAAAAACATTTAGAACGGTCAGAGTGCTATTCTTTTCTTTGCCTCTAGGTGGCGCTAGCACCGGCACATCTGAAGGTCTAAACTGCTGTCTTCAGGCTCAGGTCTGGAACTGTTGGAATTGGCTTCAGGTGCTTTCGCATCACTGACACTATTTGTCCTTGGTTGCTTTTCAAAGTAGCAACAATTCGCCTCAAAAAAAATCTTGAAACGTTTTTAAAGTTTTGTTATGTGGTGTTTTACTTTATTTTCTCTTTTTATATAAACATGTTTTTGTTGGGTGTTTTTGTATCGTCCTAACCTTGTATAGGACACATGCAGCTGCAGTGCCATGTCCTAACTGTATCTTGTATCATGTATATGAAATAAATTGGGATTTAATGACATGTGGGCTCAGGGTTTTAATGTTGTGGCTGAACTGGGATATGAACACGGTGCAGAGAGACAAAGAGACAATGGATCACAAGAAGCTGAGAAACTTCCTCCTCCTCGTTACTCACGCACACATCACACCGAGTGCACATGTACACACACACACACATGCACACACAGGGTGATTTTGTTTTTGTTGTTTCTCACTGTCCCTTTGTTGCCTCGGTCCTGCTGCAAATCAGTATTCCAGAGGAGTAGGAGATGTTGCATAATGATCACATCAACACACAGGGGAGCAACATTGCGTAACAGCAGCAGCCTCAAAGAGCAGTGGGATGGGTGTGGGGGGGGGGGGGGGAAAGCAGGGGAGGGGCTCTGGGAATCAGGACGGGGGGACAAGGAGAAGAAAGGATCGGGTGGATTGAATGATGAAGGAGATGGGAGAGAAAAGGATGCTGAGGGGAGAGGGAAAGAAGAGCCTGGGTGAAGGAGAATGGGAAGGATGAGGGGTGGCGGGGGGGCAACAAGATGGTAAGGGGATGGACAGAGAAAGATGGAGAAGAGGGATGCAGCTGACGACATGTGAGGAGGAGGAGGAGGAGGAGGGGTGGATGCAGTGAGTGGGCGATGGAGATGTAGAAGACGAACCAAGGAGGAGACCAGTCACGCATGTTAATGTCACACCACTACATGTTACTGTAAGAGGCACAGCCCTGCCTCACATCTTATACACACACACACACACACACAGACAGACAGACAGACAGACACACAGACAGAGCTGGATGATGAAATATAAAGTAATATCTGCTGGGATGGGTCCAGCTGAGGTAGGTGGTGAGCAATCTGGCTCCTCACCATTTGAGAATTTCATCTTTGCTTTGAATTATTGATCAAAACATCACTTGAATTTATTTACTGCGAGAGGAGGACACGTTGCTCCGGCATTTTCCATCTGAGGCTTTTCACAGGAACATGGGAAGGAGGCGGGGGGGGGGGGGGTGCTGCTTTTTCCAAATCTTTGATGTGCAACATGGTCAACATTAATTGAGTACGACGCACAAATATGCAGGAAGAGGTGGGGGGGGGGGGGATTATCTAAGACAAAGCCTAAGATTTATTTCATCAAACAACGGAGGCTCTTACAGCCCAGAAACAATGAGGACGACACAATTAGCTTATTTTCCATGCTTTTTTTCGCCAATCTGTTTTTATTACAAACTTAAAAAAGAATCTGATACAATAAGAAAACTGCAATAGTCACTCCCCCATTCCTGAGGGGCAGCACAGAAAACAGGTCATTGCATTTCAGTAGTGAAAGATTCCTTACACATCTACAGCGTGTACAGATCTGATACAAAATAGGAAAAATAATAAAATACAGGCAGGAAAGAAAGCAATATATTTATACATCTTCTGAACTTTTAATTATATCCATTTATTCTTAAATGTTAAATCTTACATAGAAAATAAACTTCTTTTATGACAATGAAATTCTCCAAAGTGCAAAATAAAACGCACACATCGATATAAGCAAAAGGACATCAGAATACAAAATTCTTGTTTTCCCACTTCGGTAATTATCAACCCTGATTGTAGAACAGCCCGTGTTTCCAGTTGATTTGTGGCGTGTTAGAAATGCTGTCTAATCTCTTCCCAAACGTTCAACACAAACCTGCACACATTCTTAAAATGTGACAGAGAACCAGCTTTAACACGTCTCTCACCTCAGGAGACAGATCTGAGGAAATTTAGAGACACGGCCTCGTTTGAGTAATCTGACACATGTAGGGAAGAGAAGGAACATTTCTGACACGCATGTCACTAAAACCCCCCCCACAAGACTTTTAAACACACAATAAGAGAAGCAGTTTGTTTTACGCAGGCCTTCTCAACCAGGGTTGACTTAGATCAGAATCTCATTCAGAGCACATTCATTTCCACCATTGTTCCAAACCTGACGTTAACACTGTCTTCCTATTGAAGAGAAATACATATATTGATTTTATTTTTTTCCCCCAGGGTGCAGAGAGAGGTAGAAACCCCTTGAATCTTTCAGGGTAATTTAACTTATGGCGTTACATTGCACAAGAGAAGGGTGAGCATCTGTGTAAGCAAAGACAGTCTGGGATATGGCTATAGTTTCAGGACCAGACGACCAGGCTGGGGGGGGGGAGAGAAAAACAAAAACAGATGAGAAAGTAAAATTTGTTGGGAAATTAAATATTTAGAAGGCGAGTTAATAAATATGTGAGTAACGCTTTAAAAAAATCAGATATCCAGGGAGGGTTTGGGGGGAAACCACTCTTAGTGTTTTTAAATAACAGGGTTAACAACATGAAATGCAATAAATTCACATGACGAGGGGGAGGAGGATATTGCGAATCAAATGAATTTGAAATGTAAAGATTTTTGGTTTAAATGTACTGCCTGTGGGGATATTGTCGCCATCTTTTCCTACACAAACCCACTGTAAACATTCATGCCTTTAAACTCCAAACCCAACTTGAAGAATGAATACATTTACCCGTCTTTATTAGACAAATGCTTACATAATACAATAAACATTCAATACTTTATTCTGTACATCTTTATTTTTTTCCTCAGTTTGCATATATTCATGTTATTTTCTGAAAAAATAACCTCAGCATGTAAGAAACTAAACAAAGAATCTCAACATAAGAACTTTTTTTATATACACATATTCCTGGACTGCAGTCATCTCTTACTCATACAAATGCAAGTGATAATTTGCAAAAAAACAAAAATATAGAAATATTGGAAATAAATTACAAAACAAAAAGTTAGAAATTCATCTTTCCCTCACAGCCACGTTTCACAGAGACTCCCTACATGTACATATCCCCTTAAAAAAGAAAAAATATTCCATGCATATGACAAGCTGTGACATCGCAATACCAGTGTGAGCACAAGTCAAGGGTCCTGGGGTCATAAAAAAAACACTTATGGATACAAGGAAAACATTTAAATCAACGGACAGGACTGACGGCATCTCCACACCTGCGTGATGCATTTAAATACAAATCTAGCTCGTGTCTGAATCTCTTAAGCGTTTCACGACAGCTGGATCCAAAGTGTCTTAACCAAACAAGAGGCCAAAGGAATGGTTTGGTGCTCACGTCTGTAGGAGACACAGAGCATCAGAAGCCCAATAATAAAGTGCTGGACCGCTCAAATGGACACGTGGGGGTTTACCCTTCCAGTAAGAACACGGACCCGACTGGTTCAACAGACTTCCAGTGATCTGATGAGCCATTGAATATAACAACGAAAGCCACACATCAATAAAGAACATTCATCTTTGTTCACTTCACCACAACCAGGAAAAAAGAGACAGAGCAACCCGAGCTGTAGGATTCTGGTTTTTCTTTGTAGCAGCCAGAGAAGCAGAGATCACTGAAGAATTTCAAGAGGAGGGAGAGAATGGTGTGAGCCTTTGGCTTCAATACCATTTAAGCTCACCATAAACGTGCTCAGGGTTTTAAAGTGTCGCTCTCTAAGCCAATACACCCCTGGACGCCGCCGAGGCAACAGAACCCTCGAGCTGCTTCTAGCTCTCTCATTTCCTACCGTCTTCCCTCGCTCCTCTCATGCAGAGGAAAACCTCTCCTTCATAGTCAAAGTCATGCTAAGCCATTTATCACAATCCCCACTGCTGAGCTGCTGCATCCCCTCCCCCCCCCATCACCGTCCCTGCCTGTTCACCTTCACACATTGCTGACTGGAATAGTGTGAATGTGAACATTTCTAAATGTTTGTGTGCGTGCATCACCATTTGAATATGTATGAGACCATAAGTTGCGTCCCTGTCTGTATAACTGAGGTATCAGCACGTAGTTTGCCTTTCACATTCACCAACATTTCCCCTGACAGGTACAATACATTCCACTTCATTACTCCCCTAACATACCAATGTCTCCTTCCTGCTCCCTCCTCTGCTCTAGCTTCATTTGAACCCTTGCCATGTACACACTCCAGCTGACGATAAACTGCTTTCAAAACACACCCGCTTACAACAGCTCAAAATATGCCTGTGCACGAGTGCGTTTCAAGGGTAATGGGCCCAACGCACAGTCAGTGAGTCTCCCGATCACGCTAAGCCACAACAAAACAGAGCTGCACGCACAGAGACAGCAGAGCCCCCCTTTCCCTTGTATTTGTGGCAAGTAGGGCAGAGCAGATTGCAGAGCAAAGTGCTGAGCTTTCCACAGCCGTCGTTCCCTGCAGGACTTGGCCAGGTCCTTTTCCACAGCATGACAGTGCAGTGCAAAATGGCGCTATACTAAAGCCGTGTCCATTAGACTACAAGTCAAGAAGAAAAAAAAGCCTCTCGCATTAAAATTCAATGCAAAAACAATAAACATAAGAGATTGGCAAGGACTCAAAGTAGAAAAGTGACTGACTCCCACCCACCAAATCAAAGCCAACACATGGAACGTGACGGGCAACAGCGATGGACACGGGGGGGGGGGCAGGGCGGGGTTAGAGGTCGTGGAGGAACTAAAAACAAAAACCACATGAAATATTCAGTGAATGAAATGAAATTTTAAATCTTTGTAGTAAAACTAATTCTTAATTTGTATCAGTATTAGAACAATTTCTTAGAAAAACTGAAAATATCAGGAGCGTCACCGTCCTAACACCCAACAACTCATTACAAATGAAGGCTTAGTTGGCCAGCACCACAGGCTGGAAAGACTGGCTGGGATATTGCAGGTTGTAGCCTCCTAAACCCTCCACAAATGGCGGCTTCTCTATGTAAGAGATTCCTCCGCTGCTGCTGATGATGCCCACGCTCTGGGCAGGAGGAGGGCTAGAGAAGGGATCAAAAGACGGATGGGTGTTGACAGTGTGGGGCGGCTGGAAAGGGCTGGCGTGAGGTTGCATGGGCTGGGTGTCAGCATCGAAGTAAAGGGGGCCCGGGGATCCTGGGTAGACAAATTCTTTGGCGTTGGGAGAGAGCTGGCTGGGGATAGGACCTCCGAGGGAGTGCAAGGAGAGAGACAGAGGCTTGTGCTTGAGCAGCTCTGGCGTCGAGATGGTGGTAGGAGAGCGGGTGAGCATTCTCTGGGCAGGTGGTATGACAACTCCAGAGCTGGCTGGCGACCCGGTCCCGGTGCACTTCTTCATCTTGGTCGAGCCGAATTTAGTGGCAGCAAAGCTGGCGGTGGTGAAGGTGATGGGTTGTGGGCGGGCAGAGGGCAGAGCGGAAGGTGGCTGCTGAGCGGCGAGGTAGGGCAGCCCGCCGCTGGGAGGGGAAGGGGTAGAGGTGTTGGAGGAGTGGGCAGCAGGGTCGGTGGGTGTGCTGGAGCTGGGGTAGCTGAAGAGCCCGGGGCAGGACTGGGCAGACAGAGGTGTGGGAGAGCTGGAGTGCGATGGCATGAGGGCAGGAGATGCCTGACTTCCAATTGGCACAAACACCTGAGCATCTGGGTTGAAGCCCAGATTCTTGGCCTCCTCTGTCTCTGCATCTCCTTTCCCCTCTCTGATCAACCCCTCTGCCCTCTCACCATCACAGCCGAGGCCTGGAGGATCCTCCAGGTAGAGCACCTTTACTGCCCCCTTCTCTCCAATCTGGTAGGACACCTCATAAGGGTCAATCCACACGCTGAGCTGTGCAGGAACATTTGCACGCACTTCCTCTGTGTCCAGTCCACTTCTCTTGGCGGCCAACTCCACCACGGGGTCCCTCTGTGCTCCCAGGTGAATGCAGCGGAAGGCAGAACCCCGAAGAGGGGCTTCTGGGTACCAGTGTCCCTCAAAACGAGACACCAGTATTCTCTCAAGCTCCTCGCCAAACAGGTCAGCTCGACGCCGAGGCAGCTTGTTGTGCAGGTAGGACACGATGAAGTTGAGGGCGACCTTCACTTCTAGATGCATGGCTGCACCGTTTTAGCGCCGTCTTGGGAGCAAAGTGTTTCAATATGGTGGTGCTGACCGTGAAAAGATGTGACAATAACACAGGTTTTCCTCTGGCTTAGTGTAAAATGTATGATTCTGTTAGTGTCACCATGGTAAAGGCACCTTGAAGGAGAGGGCAGAGGGTTGCAGGCTGTTTCTCGCTGTCACGGCTGTGAAGAAGAAAACAGAAGACAGAAGTCATTTAACTTGGCAAGGACCTGAGGAATGTTGTTGTTATGTCATTGTTATTTAGCTGCAGACTGTTGATCACACTGGTACTTGATGGACACACAAAGCTTCTTTGTACAGGGGCTGGGGGGTGCCATCGGAATAAATAGACTTTCAGTGATTCTCATTATTTTCATTACTGTTTTTTGTCTTTGTTGCATACTATGGTTTGTAGCACTAAAACCACTGAAATGTACAAGATGGTGGTGGAGCAGTTAAAGGTCCAGTGTGTAAGATTTAGGTGAAAGGGAACTATTGGCAGAAATTTCCTGTAGAATAATCCTCATGGTGTTTTCACTGGTTCATTTCATATAAATTGTATGAATTGTAATTTTCTTAACCCCAGAAAAGGTCCTTTATATTCAAATACTTTATATTTACATCGAGGGGGTCCTCTCTACGGAGGCCTCCATGTTTTTTACATTAGTCCAGACTGGACAAACTAAACACCAGTTTTTATGACAATTAAAGGCTACCACAGGTTCTTTTTCATGTTTGGAAAGAGAGGATGAGGTGAGGGGTGTTCAGCTGCAACATGCAATTTCAAAACTATACATCACAAAATTCTACACACTGTACCTTTAAGTTAACGTATCACACTTAGGTTACATCCCCACAAATATGTTTTTATTTGAAAACGCATTAACACTGCTACTGAAACGCCCTCCACACTGCTACAGAGTTTTAGAGCCTCTAAAATGGAGAAGTCTGGAAATGCTGCTGGTCCCGTTCTAGGTTGAAAACCCCAGAAACGATGACAACCACTTGCTGATTGGGTCTTTTCAGTCAAGACATAGCCGTCGCTGATTCGTTAGGCATAAGCCTCGGCTACCAGTGTAGAACGCAACATGGTAAACAATTACAAGTGTTGCAGACCCTGTTGTCTTTGAAATCAGCTTTTGTGCAGCTAAACTCTGTATTTTACAAGGATACAACTGTTTCCATGTATGTGAGACAAGCTGTTATTCAAGCAATCTAATAAACAAATGAAAACCTGGTAGTCTGGATGAAGCCTTGAGCCGAGTGACAGCAGGAGCAGTACACATCTGCAAATATTAGACGAGTGGAAATGTCACTGTTCTACACGATATAACAAGGCCTGTCTGTACTGACCTATGGGGGCAAACATTAGTCGAATTTATTGGAAAATGATTTAAGACAATTAAAATAGATTCACAGCGTTTGGGGCAAGCCCAATGTAACGTCTTTATAAGGAATAATATTTCTAACAATACAATATATGCATGGAGAATACAAGTTACGTAGAAGGGAAAATATTGTACTTTCACTGAATGTATATTTACATATCCTCTATTTTTATTGAGCAACACACAACAATTACAAATGTTTTATGTTTTCTATTGGCTGACTTTGACAACAGCAGGATGTACTGATTGATGTAACAGATGCTGTGTTGTGGGCTTCATAAATCCTTTATAATCTGAAACCGATCTCACAGAGTGTGTTCTGCTAAAGGCTGGAACACAGTCACAGAGGCCATGCATCACCGCGCAGAGTCATGCAGAAAAGAGAGACTATATGCAAGAGGAAGAAAACAACAACAACAACACAAGACTCCCTGAGGTAGAAGTATAAAATGGCAGGACAGTTAATCGACTCCACAGAACACCATGTCCCACCATGCAGTGCGCACACGATCATCCCCTCCCCCCTACGCGCACACACAAACAATTCACTCACATTCCCTGCCAGATGGGGATTCAGTAGCTAAGATTAGAAAGACGCCTCTGATTAAAAGACAATTCTAACGTTATTACAGATAAAGCTGCGGCAACTGGACGCAGGGCGGAGGGAGTGACAGGCCAAGATGAGATTTACATTTTCCTTTTGCATGAAAAGGGTGACATTGAGGGATAAGATGGGGGTTGGTTATGGGCTATAAATAGGAGCCCATTTTGCATCATCTGTGGTGCAAAATCCTCCCTGTGCCACCTGAGTTAAAGTGACTGAAGAATAGGATCCTCGACCACAGGAGCATCCACTGGCTCATCACCTGCAATGGCCATCACAACTAAAAACCATGGGTGCATGCAAGAGCTAAGCTACACACAGCTTCTGCTGCATTTTGCTCCTCTCATTACAAAAAGGCAACAGCAACATACACAAGCTCCAATGTCATTCAATGACATTAGAGGGAGAACTCGGTGAATATGTGCAGAGATATTGCTTCGGGGGAGCGATCATTGATCTAAATCACAAACCCCTGCTTTTGCAATTTCATTAAAATGCAAAAATCTGTCATCTCTCACCGTGTTCACATGTGCATCCTTCACCTGCATGAGATGTTGCACGTGCATGTTTTGTTTAAAGGCAACAAAAGCAACAGCAGGACGCACAGTGCTGCTTTTGTTTACATGGACTCATTATGAGGGCTGGGAATGTGGCTGTGTGCTGCAAAGCATCCACAAGTCAGGTTTTAACTGTTACAGCAGCAGAGTCGCTGTGATCTCACAAGAAACACAAGCCACAATATGGCAGCAGAAGCCTGGTTAAAGAAATATAATTGTCTGAGCAACATAAGGAGGCCCGACTATTATAAAACAATGTCAGTGGAGGAGAATATGTGGGATTTTTTTGTTTTGTTGAATCCTGAATCCGGATTTTCACACACTGAATTAAGAATACGTTGCTTATCCACCTGCTGGATGATTATACTGAAATGCATTGAATAGGAGGGACATTAAAAGCAGGTTTGCAGAATCTAAAACAGATGTATTCTCCAGGTTGGTGCTGACAAGCCTCTGGCTCTTCAGGCAGCAGGGGGGTCTACCTGGGAATCACTACCATATGTCAGTGGAGCAGGAGGGACAGGGGCTGACATGCAGGTAGAGGATCCCTTCACCGTCGACTGTAGATCAAATGATTAAGGTAATTGAGCGAAGAGGAGGAGAAGAGGAAGAGGAGGAGAAGAAGAAGAGGAGAGCCCATTGCTCAGCATAAACAACACGGTCACAGCGCATTTTAACGCACGAGCAAAGAGGAAACACCGGCACACAGGACCGAGGGGTTGTCACCTGACAGGCCGGTGATGGAGCTGATAAACCCGGATTGACCGTTCACCACTCACCTCTCCTCGCAGCCTGACTCCTGCGGTCTCTCGGGGTAAATCCTCCCTTGTGCGGTCGCAGGTTTCCCGGAGGATTTGTTTGCTCGGGTGTTCGCCTCTCCACGGTTGTTGTGCGTGTTTTTAAAATGGCAGCTCCAGCTTTAATCTGCAGGTTTTTTGCAGGGAGCGTCAGGGAGACAGTCAGCGTGGAGGCTCCACAGAAACTTTACTGTTTGACAACCCGGCGTATTTATACACTCGCCCACACCCCCGTGACGCCGGGCACTACTTTCGTCACCGTGTGTGTGTGTGTGTGTGTGTGTGTGTGTGTGTGTGTGTGTGTGTGTGTGTGTGGTGTGTGTGTGTAGTTTATTTACAGTTATGTTTGATATAATAAATCACAACATGTGCTGCTAGATTATTATATTCTGCATCACTGGTTTTATCTATCAAAAACAAATAAAAAATACAAATAAAACAAACAAACAATTACACGTACAATTCCTACATTCATCTTCTTTCTAGAAACTTTAAAAAAATAGCAAAATAAAAAAAACACACACGCAGATTTATTTCGTCTAGATGTTCAATGCCTGCCAGGCTCTAATTTCTGTGGCGGAGGGACACGTGTAGTTTCTGAACGGTGGCGAACACTTTGCTAAAAATATAAGCGGTGATAGCAACAGAGTTTCTATTGGCTGAGCTGGGGGAGGACCGTCCGCTCAGCCAATCACAGTGGCCGCACACGCACCAGAGGCTTGTGGGTAATGGTGTTCTTATCGCCCGTATCACTCTGAGTGTGTGTGTGTGTGTGTGTGTGTGTGTGTGTGTGTGTGTGTGTGTGTGTGTGTGTGTGTGTGTG